CTGGACCCTCTCCGGGGTCTCCCCAGGGTGCTGGTGTGTGTGGAGGGCTGTGGGGTGACAGAGGGGTGACAGGCTGGCAGGAGATGCTACCCATCCTGCTTTTATGTAATGCCTCATTAATTGCCCAAGAAAATCCCACTGTTAGTTGCTCTGGGCTCCCAGAAGGATGCATCCATTGCACCTCCATCCCTGTCTCTGGAGACTGGGTGCTCCAATCCCCCCATGGCCTTCAAACGCAATTGATTGTGGGGTACTGAAGCCCTGCCCTGTCAAGCCAGGCCCTTTATGCACCACAATTTTTTAATTGAATCAGCATTCCCATTAATCCTGGCTTTCCTTGCACCGGCACAGGATCCCACCCTCACTGTGCTGCCGGCACACCCTCACACCAAACATCCGTCATGGAAGTGCTCTCCTGTCTCGCTGGGAAGAGTCAAGCATGCTCCACTCCCCGAGGAAAGGCCACCTGGGAAGGGCCAGTGGGATGTTCTCAATATTCCTGGTGGTTTGGAACAGCCAGCAGGATGTCCCCAGTATTTATGTGCCTGGCAGAGGGTCTATCCAGCCCCTGTCACTTCCTGGGGCTTGTCTGGGGGTGAGGGAATGAGGAACCCACAGGCCCTCCAAACTCCCCCACCCCCCATGCTCCCTCATCTGAGCTGGATCCTGCTTCCCAGGCAGCGGCAGAGGGTCCAGCATCACGGAGCAGCCTCTGGCATTTCAGCAGAGCCAAGCTGCTGCCCTGGGAAATTGTTTTTTTCCAGCCTGAGCCACCAGTGCTAATCTTCCCGGATGGTTTTAATGGAATTTAGAGGCGAGCAGGGATTATCCGAGGAGAACCCATTACGGGTGGCTTTGTGCCAGGGCAGGCTCTGAAATCTGGCAGGGCCGGGTGAGGGAGCTCTGCCTGCCTCTTCCCGCTCCCTGCCTGCAGCAGGCAGGCTGGGAATGCTCCGGCATTCCCGGCAGTAGCATGCTGGACACACTTCCTTCTCCCATGGCTCCGTGGAGTCTTGCAGAGGGATGTTGAGGGGAGTGCCTGGGTGCTGTTGCCATGGGATGGAGGATGCATGGAAAGCCCTGGGGACAGGAGCACCCCAGTCTCTTCTCACCTCTCCAGAGGCTTTGGGATGCATCTGTGTGAGGTATTGATCCCTTGGGATCCCCCCGTCCTGGGTACCTTGTCCCTGTGGTCCCAGAGTCCCATCCCCAGGGGCATCTGCATGCTGGGGTGTTGCTGCACATCACACTGGTGTCTGGGCACCATGCTCACGCGATGGGCTGGGCTGGTGTCCTGACACCTGTTATCAGTAGCCAAGCGCTGGCAGTGCCAGCAGTGCCTGAGACTGTGCTAGCAGGTGCTTCTTCCCCCAGGGACCCTTCACAGGGGTGGGCTGGACTGCTCCATGGGAAGGGGGCTGGGAGTGGAGCAGGAGGTTTGGAAGTGGAGGGTTCAGGAGCGGAGGGTGTTCTCTGCTCCACCACTAACCTGTTTGCTGTCTTGCAGGGTGTTTAAGAAAGCCAGTCCCAACGGGAAGGTAAGTGGGACATGGCAGAGGGAAGCTGTGGGGTGACAAGCATGGCCAGGAGTGGGGGACAGGCACATTCCTTCACACCCATTCCCCGTGTGCCTCAGCTGCCATGGCAGCGGGAAGGGAAACTGAGGCACAGTGGGGTTGGGGGGGATTGCCTAAGATTAGGGGTTGAGCAGATGGGTTTTGGGGTCCTGAGGTTCAGGCAGCCTGCCCGGGGAGCGTTGTGGGTCTGGCAGCAGGGGCTGATGCCCAAACCTCCTGCCTGATAGCTTCTTGCACTGTGCCTTAGTTTGCCCATCAGAAGAAAGGTGAGAGGGTGACACTGGGGGGCTCAGCCTTGCCCTATAGAGGGGGACAGGCCCCTGGGGTGCGTCCCAGGTGTCTTCGGATGCAAAGTGCCTCCAGTTGTGGGGACATCTGGAGGGATTCTAGGATTTGCCTGGGATGGAGTGGGGTTGGCTCTTGGGTGTCACACGGACAGGGTGACACGTAGGGATCGTGGGAGACATGGACCCTGGCAGGTGGTGACCACATGGGGGGACCCTGAGGGGCTGCTCTGGGCACCCCTGATGCCCTGTCCCCCCTCCACAGCTCACCGTCTACCTGGGGAAGAGGGATTTCGTGGATCACATTGACGTGGTGGACCCCGTGGGTATGTGGGGGCAGGAAGGTGGGGGCTCAGTTTGGGAGAGACACACATGCTGGGGTGGATTGGGCTGTCTGAGGGTGAGGAAGGGGTTTGGGGAGCAGAAGACATCTGGTTTGGGATAATATTCATGTCCCCTGTGGCTTTGGACATACCCTGGGTGTGGTGGGTGCAGACTGTCCCTGTGCTGCCAGTATGTGTCCCCCAGCTCCAGCTGGCAGCTCAGAGGTGATGCCTTTCTGTGTAGGGGCACATTCCCCCTTAATCCTGCTGGTGTCCCCCCAAAACCTGCCTGCATATGTCCCCCTGACCCTGCCAGTGTGTCACCCAAACCCTGCCTCTATGTCCCCTCCAACCCTGCCTGCACATCCAGCACAGCCGTACCAGCATGCACCCTGATAGTGTGTCCCCCCTGCAGCAGTGTCCCCCCACCCCAGTGGCATGTCCCATAACTCTACCAGTGTGTCCCCTGACCTTGTCAGCGCGTCCCCCTGTTCCAGTGGTGTGTGTCTGACCCAGCTGTTCCCTTGCAGACGGAGTGGTGCTGGTGGATCCCGAATACCTGAAGGAGAGAAAAGGTAATGGCTCCCCCTGTGGTCCCTGGGGATGCAGAGGTGGCACTTCTGTAGGAGGTGACGGGTGTCCCTGCATAGTCCTGCCCAGGTGTTGGCATCTCTGGGCCTTCAGGTGACATTTTCTGGCCCCCTGTCCCTACAGTAGGTGCCTTGTCCTGCAGACAATGGGGGTGCTGTGGTGGGCACCCCAAAGCACAGCTGGCATCTCCTCAAACCACCACTGCTTCCCACTGCTAATGGCACTGGCATGAGCCAGGGTGCTAGCTTGCCTTGATGCTCCCATGCCGTGATACCCCACACCATGAGGCCACCACACCGTGATGCCCCGCACCACGATGGTCCTCTCTGTGATGCCACACACCATGATGTCAGCAACCCCTGGTGCCACCACTCCATGATAGCCCCCTCCATGATATCCCACACGATGATGTCACCTTGCTACCAACCTCCCCACCTTGTCACTCTCCCCAGTTTTCGTGACGTTGACCTGCGCATTCCGCTATGGTCGCGAGGACCTGGATGTGCTAGGGTTGACCTTCCGCAAGGACCTGTTTGTGGCCAATGCCCAGGCCTTCCCCCCGATTCCCGAGGAGAAGAAGCCCCTGACGCGGCTGCAGGAGCGGCTCATCAAGAAGCTGGGCGAGCACGCCTACCCCTTCACCTTCGAGGTAGGTGACACTGGGTGACAGTGCTCCTGCCGGGGTGCTGGAGGGGACGATGATCCTTGTCCTGGGGACCTTGGGGCTTGAAATTCTGCCACCTGTGTTCAAGATGCAGCTTTTGGTGGTGGCTCTTCAGACTCACGAGGGAAAAACAACCACCTGCAAGATAACTGAAGCACTGAGGGGTCCATGTCGGCACTGGGGATCCATGCTGGCACCAGAGGGTCTGTGCTGGCACCAGGGGTCCATATCAGCACCAGGCAGCTCTGGCAGGGAATGGGGTGGGGGTAGACCTCCACTTCATCCACCTGCCCCCACGATTTCCCTCGCACAGCTTTGGCAGTGGTGGGCACCCCATCTTGAGCTGGCAGAGGGACCTGGTGACATTTTACAGGGCTCAGCCCCATGGCCTCACAAATGGCCCTGATTCCTCCAAATCCCCCTGATTAATTAAACCCCCTAAATAATGTATTGTTTGTAATGTTTTGAGGATTGAGAAATACAATAAGGAAGTGAGGAAATCTTTCCTGGGTTTCCTTCCTTCCAGCATGGGCAGGAAAGGGAAGTGCTGGCAGCCCTCTGAAAAGTTCCTCACCCTCCTTTCCCCTCCAGATCCCCCCCAACCTGCCTTGCTCTGTAACGCTGCAGCCAGGCCCGGAGGACACGGGAAAGGTAAGGTGTCACCCTTGTCCCTGTGACACTAGTGAGCTACTAGTTGGGGTCACCTCCTAGTGGGGGTGCAGAGAGGTTTCCCTGCCTCTTTTACCCTTCCTCCTGGTTTCCAGGCCTGTGGGGTGGACTATGAAGTCAAAGCTTTCTGTGCCGAGAACCTGGAGGAGAAGATCCACAAGAGGTGAGTGGAGCCCATATGGGAGTGGCATCCTCGGGGTGCTGGCAGTGGGGAAGAGGCATCCTGGTTTGTTCCCACCATGGTTGACATGGGGATGGGATGCAGGTGTTCCCCAGGATGGGGTTGGGATTGGGATGTTCTTCAGGCTGGGGTTGAGATGGAGATGTTCTTTAGGATAGGGGTGGCTTGAAGATTTCTTCAGGGTAGGAATGGATCAGAGGTGATTTGGGGCCTGAGATGGAGACATCCACCACTGTGCAAGGACCCCAATGCTGCTGTGGGGCTACATGGCTAACCTGGCCTGGCCATGGGGCTGCCCCCTTGAGCCCTGGTCGGCATCCAGCTGAGATGTCCCACAGCATCTTCTGACCCAGCGGACCAGAAAAAAGAGGATTTGACCCAAAATGGGCCAAGAAAGATGGTGGCCTGTGGGCAACCCACCACCTGCATTCTCCTCTTGTTGTCTCCCACAGGAACTCGGTGCGCCTGGTGATCCGTAAGGTCCAGTACGCGCCAGAGCGACCTGGCCCCCAGCCCATGGCAGAGACCACCCGGCAGTTCCTCATGTCAGACAAACCGCTGCACCTCGAGGCATCCCTGGACAAGGAGGTGGGTGAGGACTGGGGAGGGGATGCTGGTGAGGTGACCCCAGGGACCTCACTGTCTCCCCTGCTCTGCTCTCCTGCAGATCTACTACCATGGAGAGCCCATCAGTGTCAACGTCCATGTCACCAACAATACCAACAAGACCGTGAAGAAGATCAAGATTTCAGGTGAAGAGAGGGCTGTGTCCCCCACCCCACTGGTGTCCCTGTCTCCACCCCTGTCCCAGCAAGGGCTTGCCCTGACCCGCATCTTTCTCTGTCTTGCTCCAGTGCGCCAGTATGCAGACATCTGCCTCTTCAACACCGCCCAGTACAAGTGCCCGGTGGCTGTGGAGGACGCTGAGTGAGCTCCTTGGGGACATTGCAAGGGGCCCTGGGGACCTCAGGGGAGCCTTGGAGGTCTCCTGCTGCAGCGTGGCCCCAGTGGGATGTTGCATTTGGCAAGCAGAGACTGGTGGGAGGTGTGGAGAGATGGAGACCTTCGCTTTGGTGGCATCTTGAAGACATCATCCTCTGCATTCCCTGGGATGGAGATGTTCACCAGGCTGGGGCAGGAATTGAGATCTGTGGTCTGGGTCTGGAGCTGGGTTAGAGAAGTTCACCAGGGTTGGATGGAGATGTGTTCCAGGCTGGGTCTGGGATGGAGATGTCCAGGCTAGCCCTCTGGGGCTGTGGGAGCTGGGGGCAACTGGGGCTCTGACTGATGGTGGCTGTCATCTCCAGTGACATGGTGGCCCCGAGCTCGACATTCTGCAAAGTCTACACCCTGACACCCTTCCTTGCCAACAACCGGGAGAAGCGTGGGCTGGCGCTGGATGGGAAGCTCAAGCATGAGGATACCAACCTGGCCTCCAGCACGCTGTGAGCCCCTCCACCATCCCAGGGCTCCTGTCCCCTCCGGCAGTGCAGGGGCAGGACCCAGCCCTGGTGGGCATCCAGCCCCTGCTTCAGGGGTGATGCCTGGGGTGGAGAAGACCCTGTGGGGGGATCTTCAGGAAGACAGGGGGTCTGGTCCCCATAGCCATTCCCTCGCTGATGCCCACCTGCCCCTTCCTCCAGGTTAAGAGATGGAGCCAACAAGGAGATCCTGGGCATTATTGTCTCCTACAAGGTGAAGGTGAAGCTGGTGGTGTCACGAGGAGGGTGAGTGTTGGGGACCCCCCACCATTCTGCACCTCCTCTCTTCCCTTGCTCTACTTGGGCCTGGTCTGTACTGCAGATGGGGCCCATCACCCCCTTAAAGCTCCCCTGGGACTCAGTAGCACGGGGTGGGGGGACACAAGGTGGGAGGGGTCGCATGTCCTTGGAGGGACAGTGACTAATGTGTTGTCTCCTTTGACCCATGCCAGCCTGCTGGGAGATCTCGCCTCCAGGTAACTCCCCACTCTCCCCAACAACCCCCAGTCCCCACTGCAGCCCCTCAGTGCA